TTGCCTCACATAAAGTACAAGTACCTCAACATTAAAAGTAGCCAGCGGTACTTGTGTGAATATATTTAGCGACATTCCAGCTCTAGATGTTAACTTATTTAGTTCTATTCAAGCAGTCACAGTTTGTTGTTCATTGATTGGTGAACATCATCACTCTCTTCCTCAAGCAGCCTCAGTGTTGATCCTCAGCTGTTTGAGGGTTTAAATTATAACGAGGAGGGTTTTTCTTAAATCCCACAGAAACAGAAGTGAATTAACTTGTTTGTCTGAGAGGTAGATTATCGGATTATCAGCCGAAGAGTCGACTGTCACTGTGGATAAATAAACAAGTCAGTCTACCACTGAGGTGCTCCCAGTGCATGCTGGGAGAAGCCATAATTCTCTTTATTCATGAAGTTCTTTATCTAATAAACTAAAAGGAAAAAAACCCTCAAAGGGACTCAGATTCCTGGAGAAAAACCCTCGGTTCCTGTTTAATAAGATGATTGAAGATGAATTGTACAAGTGAGACTCATGAGCTCATTACATTTAGCAGGATTTAATTCATCACAGATGCAATATCAAATATAATATCATTTACAAAATCAGTAGGCACAAATGGGCGTGGCCTTTATGAATGAACGAACGTAAAAAAAATGTATTTACTCTAATATTTATTTATTTACCAAATAAATAACCTGATTTGGTTGTCCCATGGTCGATTGTTGTGTGCACTCATGCTGATTTGAACCCTCCAGTTCGGCCATCTTGTTTTTTGCAACGAGTGAACAGGAAGTGACCATATTTGGACAGAGGAGGAGCGACGTAGAGACTACGTTTGGTAGAAAAACTGTTTTCCGCGAGGAGAAAATCATAGAGTGTCTATCAGAAGTGGACGAAGTCGTCGTCACGTCACTGATCGGTTTGTGGATGATTTGAAGCCTTGATTTCTCCGCCATCTTGGGGATTTTTGCAACCAGGGAACAGGAAGTAACCATATTTGGACTGAGAAGGAGTGATGTAGTTACATAAGTTACGTGAGGAATAAATCAACATTGACTTCTTGTTTCAGAGAGACAACAGACTGCTCTTTTAAAGATCTTTATACTTTGTGGTTCATGATTACGTGGAAATGTCGACGAATTACAGCGCATTCATTTTTCGTTGTTTATAACTACAACTATTATAGAACAGTCTGCACACACACACACACACACACATTTTCTTTCACATATTTTACAGACAAAAATGTTGATTCAATAACTGATGGATAAAATAGATTTTTTTAAATACTAATTAGCTGCAACATGATTGTGAAAAAGCAGACAAATGCCACAGCAGCACGAGTGCTTTGTGGGATCAGTTATAGGTCATAATCAATAAGCGCTCACATGACAAACCACCTCTCCTCACCCGTTCCTCACCCGTTCCTCACCCGTTCCTCACCCGTCACTCTCACACCTGTCAGTCAGGTGTTTCACAGAGAGAGAAACATGAAGACGGAGACAGAGGAGACATAAAAAAGAAACCAACAAGCAGCACAGAGAGGATGAAAGATGAGAGTAAAGAGAGACTGGCAGGTGAGATAGGACAGTAAAGGGGGAGAGAGGGGGAGGAAGCCGAGAGAGAAGCATCCCATTAGCATACTCTCCCCTCAGTTTACCGGAGTCTCACCAGTAATCCCACTGTGACTGAATATCAGTCGCTGGACGAAACGCCAGAGTTCACTTCTTTAAGACGGAGAATGTTTCCGCCGATAAACGCCGACTTCCCCCTGAATTAAACATGAATACAGCTGGAGACTCTCCATGAATTCATTAATAATGTAAAAGAACTGTCAAAATAAAGTCAAACGTATAGGACAGAATATCTTAATTATAGAGAGATAGAATATTTTATTAATCCCAGCAGGAAAATGTAACGTTACAGCATTTTAGCAAAAACATATGAATGAATTAATTAATGCTAATTATGACAAAAGAATAATGAATATATGAAGTATATAATAATTATACTTGATGATTCAGGATGATGACTTAGTATTTCCTAACTATGACAAAGTAATGTAAAATGATTATTTTAATACGTCACATAAACTTGATCTATAATCATTTTACTAGAATCTTTATATCTTGTGATTTGTTTCTCGCTGGAGACAAATCACGGCGATGTCATCAAATAGTGTAGAAATGAAATCGATTGGTTTCATGTTGAGCAACTTGAAATGTCGCTTTGAAGGACTTCTTTTTCGGGACGACATTAAATTATGAAACAAAAGTTGAGAAAAATATCATGGATGGGCTTAAAATAGGTACGTACAGTTTTGCTTAGTTAAGTTTAGGAAAAGATCGTAAAATACTTGGTTAGGTTCAAGAAAAGATCATAAAATACTTAGTTAGGTTCAAGAAAAGATCTTAAAATACTTAGTTAGGATCAAGAAAAGATCTTAAAATACTTAGTTAGGATCAAGAAAAGATCTTAAAATACTTAGTTAGGTTCAAGAAAAGATCGTAAAATACTTAGTTAGGTTCAAGAAAAGATCATAAAATACTTAGTTAGGTTCAAGAAAAGATCTTAAAATACTTAGTTAGGTTCAACAAAACATCTTAAAATACTTAGTTAGGTTCAAGAAAAGCTCGTAAAATACTTAGTTAGGTTCAAGAAAAGATCGTAAAATACTTAGTTAGGTTCAAGAAAAGATCTTAAAATACTTAGTTAGGTTCAACAAAAGATCTTAAAATACTTAGTTAGGTTGAAGAAAAGATCGTAAAATACTTAGTTAGGTTCAAGAAAAGATCTTAAAATACTTAGTTAGGTTCAAGAAAAGATCGTAAAATACTTAGTTAGGTTCAACACAAGATCGTAAAATACTTAGTTAGGTTTAAGAAAAGATTGTAAAATAGTTAGTTAGGTTTAAGAAAAGATCTTAAAATACTTAGTTAGGTTCAAGAAAAGATCGTAAAATACTTAGTTAGGTTTAAGAAAAGATCTTAAAATACTTAGTTAGGTTCAAGAAAAGATCGTAAAATAGGTTTAAGAAAAGATGGTGAAATACTTCCTTTCAGAAAACACTTTGACATCTAAATGACGGAACAGTAAGTGAAAAAATGCTGACTCATGCCTGGTTTTAGGACTCATCCTGCAGCTCTTTATAAAGACTCAGATTTGTTTACATTGGAGTTTGAAGGCCGCCTTAATAAATGTGAAATAATGTGAAGTTCATGTGAACTTGTTCAAACGTGAAATGAGCTTTAATGTGTGAGAACAGAGCAGAATTATGACTCCTGTTAAGACGACTAACAATGAAACGTTTGTCTCAGAATCATGAATTTGTTTTGGTCCATTGCTCAAACCGGATTTGTTCTATTTTGTTTCTCATTAGCGACTGTCGACAAAACGCCTGCGACGCTGTTTCATGACAAACACCAGCGTGGGTCGATTAAAGCGCCTCATAGCTGCAGAGAGAAGTCATTCAGTTAATTGTTTAAACCACAGGACTGCATGAATCAGCTCTTCATCTTCTTCTGCTCACTGCAGCACATCAGATGCCTCGGAGGGCAAGAATCCAGCAGGACGCAGCACATTTCCTCCTTAATAAGGTGGAATACTGGAACATAAACACAAAGCTTTTCTGGAGAGTATATGAAACCAACAAGTCCTCCAAACTGCAGAATAATGAAATCATGCATCTCCGGATTCAATAAAGACAGAAAGAAACCACCTCATCTGTAGCTTTGGACATCCAACACTCAGAATAGAGTTTACAGTTCGGTCAACCCACTCGCTGGGCTCACTTGTTTTATTCCAGAGATGAGAGACTCAGCCTCCCTGCAGAGCTTTCTAACAAGTCAGCATCTCAACTCACAATGTTTGATGTGTTCAACACGATGGAGGCTGCAGGAGTTCAGGAGAGAAACCAGGCGACAAGTCTGAACTGACGAGGACTCACTCACTTTTTCAAGTACTGATACCACAGTGTAGAAATACCCTGGTCGAGTAAAAGTCCTGCTTCAAAATGTAGTAAAAGTACAAAAGTATCAGCATCAAAATATGCTTAAAGCTACTACGAGGAATTTTCATTATGTGTTGATTCTGGCGCCCCCTGTGGACTAAAGTGGTAATGTTTCAGAGCAGCAGACTCCCTTTAGAAAACCTCTCATTTTACTGAAAAATTTACTGCTAATACTTTCAGTACATTTTGTTGGTAATATTTATTTTCACTTCATTGTGACTTTAGATGCAGAATGTTAGATGTTCTCTAGTAAAGGATTCATTCAGTGGAGATGTGACTGAATAAAAGATCGTGAAATACTTCGTTAGGTTTAAGAAAGGATTGTGAAATATCATTGTTTGGGTTAAAATAACTACAGAAGTGTCGTGACTGAAGAACGCAAATTACGAGATGAATAAATGAACGCTGACTTCTTGTTTCACACGGGGAACGAACATCGGTCTCCTGGAGGAAACGTCTGGGTTCTTGTGGCCTGTTGATTATTACATGGATCACACACATCATCACACATTATCTACAAATTAAAGCACCAATATTTAATATTTGAATGAAATTTAACGCATCACTGACCTTCAAATGAATGAGACAAACTACAGCAAAATAAAGTTGGACACACAATGTCTTCCAGAGACCTGGTGGCTGAGATATGGACACCTTGTTGGGTGATTCTGGTCCTGTTTATGACTCCTGTATCTTTTCTGTTCTATCCACATTCTGGATCTTTTTACAGCTGCGGTCATGAAACTGCCTGGTGGGTTTATTTTACTTCCCTCAGTATTTTCTCTCTGCTTTTTCAAAGTCATCCCTAACATGTTCAGCCTTTATTTCCTCCTCTCATGCTCCTCGTTAAACACCTGCTGTCTGTTACCTGCAGCTAGAGGATGAATCGTGTCAGTGAGGAAGACATGAAAATACCCGTCGGTGTGTTTCCTTTAACCTCGGGCATCGAGCGGCCGAGTCGGTCCATACTAATGACTCCCAGCTGAGACAGAGAGGAGATGTTAAAGTGTCGTAGTGATGGTTTATCTTTCTCTTCTTCTTGTCAACACTTTCAGACTCTATGACGGTGCGGAGAGGAAAGAAGCTCAGCATCTCCATCCAGGAACACATGGCCATTGACGTTTGCCCCGGCCCCATCAGACCCATCCGACAGATCTCCGCCTACTTCCCCCGCCGGTCCCCCACCTCCCCCGGCCCCGTGTCCCCGAACCCGGCCTCCTCCCCACTGGCCCTCAGCCCCGGCTTCGTGGCTCCCGGGATGGGCGGGGCTCACCTCTTGTCTCCTCTGCTGGCTCACGGCCGGCACGGCGGTGGCGGCGGGTCTTTGTCTCTGACCAGCAGCGTGGAGACGTCGGTGGAGATCAACAGCTCCGACAGCGACGACTGCAGTGAGCCTCGCTGTTGGCATGTGTGTGTGTGTGTGTGTGTGTTACTGTGCACCTCTACACACCTGTAGACGCTTTTTGCATGACTCAGCATGTTGCATCTAGACTTCAGGTAAAGTGGTTAGTGTTTCCATCTAAATGTAGCACAAATTTTAATCAAATTTCCTCAAAATCTGCAAATGAATATGCTAATTTATGCACGTTTCCACCAGGCGGCAAGTGAAGCCAATGCTAAAGTGCCTTAAAGCTGCATTCTCTCTAATGTCCATCAGTGGATGCAAAAAGAACAATGTTTGTATATAAATCCTAAGTAAAAAGCCAAAAGCTAGGATGGCAACGGCCAAAAAATCCCAATCACAACAGCAAAAATCAAAGATGGTGACATCCAAAAACCAAAATGGCGACAGCCAGAAAACAAGATGGCGACAGCCAAAATTCCAAAGTTGAGGCTCCAAAACAGCAGTCTTACAAACCAATGGGGGACATCATGTTGATAATGTCTAGTTCTTATATACAGTCCATGGTTACCACCCATAATGCAGTATGTAGCATCATCTTGATTTTTGGCGGTTGCCATCTTTTGTTTCGCCGTCACCATCTTGGTTTTTGGCCATCGCCATCTTCTTTTTGGCCCGTCATCTCGATTTTTGGCAGTCACCATCTTTTTTTTCCGTCTCTTGCTATCTTTTTTTTTTGGCCTATCCTCTCAATTTTCAGCCATCGCCATCTCTATTGTTTGGCTGTCGACATCTTAGCTTCTGGCCGTTGACTGGGGTAATAAATGAAGTGGGAAGTAAGGTCATTTTCTCATGAGCGGAGTTCATTACGTCTCGGTCGTCTGAAGATCCGATCAGCACTTAATAAGCCTGTTGGACTAAAGCTGGCTCTGCTGCTGTGCTGTAGGCACATTGGATGTGAAGACTCATGGTCATGCATTTTGATTCTCTTTAGAATCTTATCAAATAAAAACGACACTGACAGTGTGGTCGGCCTATTGGTCTGATCAGAACCTGCTGCAGGACTGAGCGGATGTAAAGATGCTGCAGTGCGATCAATAAACAAAAACACCAGAGTCCAATTTATCTGAGCACGTTTACCCCCGAGTTCAGTTCAGAGATACAACTTATGAATAATTCATGTATTTAAGTCAAAATAACATTAACAAAGCAACACGTTATGCTCCCACATCTGGACTGATCACAGACATTTACAGAGTTTATGGAGCAGCAGACTGCACATAAAACAGGATTGTGTTGGAATTGGCTTTCAGGTTTTCCAGCATCGTCTCGCTGAATGAATGAAATATGAGCTTTGTGAGAGGAGATCAGCCTCAGAGGTAAAATAAGAACACATTGTGATGAACGACTGGTCTCAGAGCTGCTGTCTTCAAGCTGCCTTTCAGATCCACTCACAGAATAATTGTGGGTTTCTATTTCAACATGAATTCATCATCAGATGTGTTATGCAGTCACTGGCTGATGATTTTATTTGTTTTCTAATAAAATGAGATTCATCACAGTGTGACAGCCTGTCTCATGCAACTAAAGCTCACCCACCCCCCCCCACACCCACACCCACAACACAAAGCCGCCAAGAGAGC